ATCCAATAAGCCATGTACCATCGGCTCTCCGAGGCTTCAAACTATGTAAAACAAAAAAGCAAGTCATATGCCTTTTCCAAACGAGTCGTATATCTATATTGGGTTGTCATGTGTATGTTGTAATCCTATTTTATGCTATAAATAGAGAAGTTAGAGTTTATTCTAGGGATTCCCTCTTTCTTGTAGCCACCATAAATAGAAAAAAACCATCTTTTGTAAGCAAACTATGAGTCATTAAGGATCTTTCTTGGTTGAAGAGAAAGTTGAAGCTTTTTGTATAACTTATTGTAAAATCTAAATAGCATCTTTAATCATATTCTTTTAAGCATTTTATGTTTTTTTATATTAGTTGAATATGATTATATGGTTGATTAACTAGAGTACATGCTAGTTAGTGAATCATTATAATCTATTACTAGCTAAGTATTCAAGTCCGTAATTGTTTGTCTAAACTTACTTGTAATAGCAACTAAGTGTTAATTATTATAAATAGATTTTAATGATTATAAATAAATTTTCGCTTAATCTCTAGGAAAATATAAAACTAGATTAAATTCTCCTAACATCTAAAAGGATTATTTAGCTCTACCTATCTTTCTATTAACTAATGTTCGTTGTTGGATTAAATCTAGTCGGTGTCCACTAGGTTGTTCAATAGTTAGGGATTAATCAATTAGTGTCTCTTTGGTTAACGAATCACTAAGAAAAGATTAAAGATAACATACATGTTGTTATCTTGAGATGGATATTCATAATAAGAATAGATTAATATATGAGTCAATGATCAACAAGCTAACCAAAAGTCAAGACCCACCTTCAACTAAGGCTTTTATTATTTTCTCAACTCTATATTTAATTGTGTTTATCTTTAACATTCTCAACAAACCAAAACCCCTATTTTTCCTTGAAACAATAATAATAATAATAAAAATAGGATATTGATTGAACCATCTCACCATGAGATCAACTCGACTTACCCTAATTGTAGTTTGTAATTAGGTTCGGTGAGAAGAAAATAAATTTTTTAATTTATCGAGTGGTATGATATACAATCGACTGCATGAAAAGGAACTGCTAAAGAAACTATAGGCAAAGGTCGTAAACATAACAATCTTTCTACTAAATAGGCTTTTAATAAGAGCTCCGTAGAAAAGAACTCCATTTGAATCAAGGTTTAGCTATAAACTTGACTTACAACATCTAAGAACCTTTGGTTGCATATGTTTTTCTTATGTACCACGAAGTGAGGAGGGATAAACTTGACAAAAAGATAGAACCATGAGTCTTTATTGGATACAACGGCTCATCCAAGGCTTATAAAATTTTCCAACTACAAAATGGAAAGATTCTTGTAAGTAAAGAAGTCAAGTTTTTGGAGGATAGACAATGGACCTAGGAAGAGTCGGTAAAGAAGTAGTACTCAAAGTTTTTACAAAATTCGAGGATAATATAGATGAAATACCAATCGGAGGTATAAGACCATTGTTTGATATTTATGAACGAGTGTGACATTACTATTTTTTAGCCTACAAAGTTTAAAAAGACGAGAAAAGGATAATAAGTGGATTAAAGTAATGAAAGAAGAACTCAAAAAGATTGAAAAAAATGATACTTGAAAGTTGGTGGACGGACCTCGACATTAAAAGAAAAAACTATAGAGGTCGAATGGGTTTATAGAACCAAGCTCAATATAGATGGTTCTATAAACAAACACGTGGCTAGATTTGTTATGAAGAGGTATGCTTAAGTTTTTGAACTAGATTTCTCGGAGACTTTTGCTCTAGTGGCATGGCTTGATACAATCAAAATGCTACTTGCTTTAGTAGCATAGAAGGGATGGAACATCTACATCTAGATGTAAAATTTACTTTTTTAAATGGTTATCTACGGGAGGAGATTTTTGTGCGACGAACCAAAAGGTTTCCAAGTCAAGAGACAAGAAGAAAAGGTCTACTTGCTAAACAAGGCTTTGTATCGCCTAAAGTAGGCTCCTAGGGGCTCGGTAAAGCAAGATTAATGAATATTTATTGATTCTTGGCTTTGTTAAAAACCTTAGTAAAGAATGTGAAATAAACTAATACTAATCTTATCATAGTTTCTATTTATATGGATGACTTTCTTATAATAAGAAGTGATAAGGAGTTGATAAAGAAGTTTAAAGTTGAAATGCTCAAAATCTTTGAAATTACGGACCTAAGCTAGATGTCCTATTTTCTAGGAATGGAAGTAAAGCAAGAATATGATGAAATCTTCATATACCGAAAGAAGTATGCAAGGGAAATACTTAAGAAATTTCATATGGAGAACTATAAATGCATACTTTTATAAATCGAAGGAGAAATTTAGCAAAGATGATGGAGCATACAAAGTTGATGAAGGATAATACGAGAGTCCGATTGGTTGTTTGATGTATCTCACGACCATTAGACCGGACATCATATTTGCAGTGAGCTTGCTCTTAAGATTTACGCATTGTGCCAATAAAGTGCACTCTCAAGTTCGCCAAGAAGATTGTGAGATATGTCAAGAGTACTTATGAATTATGGTATCAAATACTCTTATTATCCGAATTTTAAGCTTCATCGTTATTTTGATAGTGATTAGTGCAAGTTCCGTTGATGATAAGAGGAGCATAACAACCTTTTGTTTCGAGCTTTGGATCGGGGATGTTTTCATGGTGCTTAAAAAAGTAAGAGATGATAGCTCGAGCACGATAGAGGCTCGATATGTGGCAACCAATACTACTATAAATCAAGCACTTTGGCTTAAGAAGACACTTACAGATTTACACCTAGAGCAAAAAGAACCAACATAGATTCTAATAGATAATCGAGTCACAATTTCAATCTTAAATAATCCTCGTTTTTTATAACAAGACTAAACATTTTAAGATCAAGCTATATTTCTTAAGAGAAGTGCAAAATGAAGGTGAAGTCAATCTACTTTATTGCAAAACTAAGGATCAAATTGCATATGTTTTAATCGAAGTCCTCTCCAAAGTCGGACTTGAAGCTTTACGAAGCAAATAAGGACTTTACGACTACTAAGGCAAAGAGGAGTGTTGTAGACATGTCTCTGCAGCTATCGACATGGAATGCTAACAAGGCTACTGTGTGAGAATACTAAAGTAGATTTGAAGAATTAATCAAGCTAAATGTGCTTTACGACCAAGTCTTTAGGAAATTTGTTGTTATAGCTATTATGGCTTAATTATAGAAAGAGTTATTAATCATGTCTTATAATCAACGGAATTTTCAGATTGTCTGTTTCTTTTTACAATATTTAAGAAGGATAGATTCAATAAGAAAATTATAGTTTTGCAGTTCATATATTTGTTTTTACTGTGAAAATCCTTTATTTCTATGTTCATCAACAACAAGAACTTTTTAAAAAATCGGGACTTAATTTGTGTCTACTTAATCCTTCTCAAGGTTTCGTTTAATTATAATGTTTTTCTTGGTTTATAATGTTGTTTGACATTGTTCTTTTTTGAATTGATAAGGTCAGAAACACTTATTAGTTTGGATCTTAGTGGCATTGATTCTCAAGTACCTACTCACATCACATTCGTAATGCAATTTGGAGTTTTAGAGCAGAGCTTGCTAGTAATAGATTCTTATAATGACGTACTGTATTATTTGAGCCTTGTGAGCGTCAGAATTATGAAGCAGTTAAAGAAGATGGCAGAAAGGATAAGCAATGTTGACTTTGTTTGCAAAGAAAGTATAGAATATAAGTTTTTGAGAAACCTTTAAAGCATAAGAATGATTGTACTTCCTTTATGTTCTAACTTTAGCAGCAGCTTGGATGAACCACGGAGAGAGCATGAACCTGCTTCTTAAAAAGACTAATTGCTTACCAATTACTTGCCCCCTTTATGGGTTTGTTAGAAACATGTTTAAAGCAAAACATTCTCTTTTTCTCCATGCCTTTTGCATTAGAATATTAGATCACTGTTTTTATTGGACTGCAGTACATGCATGAACCAGCTCTCTCATTTATAACTTGGTCTTCTAGTCTATGTCTCTTTCTCTTTTATTTTTTAAAAATCTCCAAGTTATCCTAGACTAAAAAACTTCTCGTTATTCAGTCGAATACACAAAATGAACAGGACTAAAAAATCCTTTGTTGTTCAATCGGATGCATAAAATGAGCAAAACTATTAAAATAATTTTCTATATATACAAAAACTCGAATCTAAAATCATTTATTTAAACGATTAAAATTTTTTTTTATTAAAACCAACGCTCTCTTGGAATTCTCTCTTTGATTTTTGAACTACATAATAAAGGTTCAATTTGTTCAAAAATACAATATAAATCATTCTCGAAATCTACCTAATAGCTTATATTTATTGCTAGATCTTTTGGGTGTAATTTCAACTTTTTAATAAGGGTATGATTTGTTAGAAAATATAATGGAAAAATATAAATCATTTTTAAAATCTAATTTAATGGTTTAATCTTTTGGATTGAGTAGTTGTTTAGCATAATTGATGTAGTTTTGGATACTCCAACAGACCTTAACTACTTTTAACTAGTCCTTTTAGGATCAAGTTTCGATGTGACTAGCTCATCCCAATGGTCCCCATCTGTATCATTGGCCTGTGACAACTTCTAACCAAATAATGAACCAAGGAAATTTGTAAAGAGAACCCATCTTCTCTTTGAAGTTCAAAGAAAATATGAATAAAGAGAAAGTGGGGTAAAAGAATGATGCAAACAGTACATAATGGGTGCCTGTGGGGCACACATTTCTGTTTCTTTTCCCCTTTTCTCTATTTCAATAATTATAATTCATAGTCTCTTGCCAGACAGCCACATACGCAATTGTTATAAAGAGGATTTATAGTGGTGTGTGTGTATATATGCCTTAATTGGAGATATATTCTACAGGTAGAAGACCTTAGCTAATATACCTACTTTGCCTCTCTTTCCCTTAATATTTCTTGCAATCTGGTCTACTCTCTTCTCCTACATATTTTGTCACGAGTGCCACCAATGGAAACTTCACAGCCTCTCTCTATTGAAAGCTTTTCATATAGTTGGTTAGTTAACCTGAAACCATCTTTGGAAAGCCTAGACAATTCTTTCAGGGCCTCACTTGATGCATCAGACGAAGCTTCCTTCATTGAGATGGACCCAAGAATGCCACCCTCAAAGAGATTCTTCAGAAATTCTCAGGACTTCAAATTTGACTTCCCCATTTCACAATCTCCTCTTAGTCTTGTTCATGCTGATGAGCTTTTCTCCAATGGCTATGTCATGCCTCTCTTTGTCGATCCGTTAAAGATGGAGGCTTATGAAGTCTCAGATTCAATCTCATCAGCCCTTCCTACCTCTTCGCATGCACCAAAAACTGTGGTTTCAGCTTGTAAACCTCGTCGTTGTTCTTCATTGAGAAGGTGTAGGAGATTGTCGAAGCAAATAATTCAGAAGTACTTGGATTTTCTTAAGCCATTGTATCGAAGATTTCAAGGCCACAGGTCACGTTCTAGAGATGAAAATGTTGATTCAAAAGTTCAGGTAATGAAGAGATGGATATATTCAGCAGAAACATCTCCAAGAATCAGTGTAGCTTATTCTGTCGATGATTGTTGGCGAAGGTCTTGCGATTCTGAGAGCTCTATCTATGAGGCAGTTCTCCATTGCAAAAGATCAAATGGTAAGTCAATCTTCACCTAGTTATGATTATCTACTTTTGCTAATCTCAACCCTGTCATGATTGTTACTTTATAATGATAGTAGAAATTAAAATTATCAAGTTTATTAACATTCTTTGGTATATTTGTTATTTTCAGGGAAATAAATTGAAGTTGTTGTACAAAAGGAGTTGAAAAGGAAGAAAAGAAAGCAGCAATGTTGATATTCACATGGGAAAGAAAATGAGAGGGGAATAAAGAAAGATCAGCAACCACTTGTCTCTTGTTCTTTTCTTCTATTCTTCTGTGAGGATAATGTAAATTTGTATTCTTATAAAGGAGTATATAGAAGTTGTGTGGATGGTCGGCTATGAGAAATCTGGCCATGAGGGAGAGGAAAAAAAGAGAAGGATATAACGAATAAAATTAAAATTTTGTTTTTGTCTTTTCTTTTAATATGGGAGAAAAGCTACCAGCTACGAAGATTCTCTCCCTTATTTCTGTACAGTTTTCTTTTAGTGAAATCAGGATTATTCTGTTCATAAAAATATCTCCATTATATTTCTATTCTATTATTGTTTCAATGATCTCCATAGGTTGTCTTAAGGGCACCTTTTCTTTTTAGATTTGTATCATACTATCATCGCCTTTTAAGAACGATAAAAACATTTTCAGATGTGTAAATGCCTGCACTGGACCATGTTGTTGAACCTTACAGGACAACGATGGTCTAGCAAGCCCCACCAGGTTTAGCCTAGTACAAAAGGATGAACCTGAGGGATATGAAGTCGAGGCGCACCAATTTCTAGGTTTCAATCCTTTTACCTAGGTATATCTTGGATTTATCAGTGAGTCAGGGGGAGGAATATCTACCGGTGCTGATTTTACTAACAATTGTTGCTTGTTAGGGCAAAAAAAAAAAAAGAAATGCTGGTGTAAATTTAACCATGTTATTTGCTGGGTTTTGAATGTGTTTTTCTGATCTAGCTCAACCGTCGCGGTACTTGGACAACATATTCAAATAAAACTGATTTTTCTTTCCCCAACATGCTTTCTTTTAGAGATGATCCTTTCAACTACTTTAACTTATGCATTCAAATGTTGAATAATTCAATGTTATTTTAGTATAATGGAATTTCAATTGCCTTAAAAATCATTTGGCATGGAATTCAATCCCAGGAGAAGTTAATTTATTATAATTTGAACATATAAAATATTAAACTGTTAAGTGATATCCTATTGTATGATTTATATTATTTTTTAGTACATTTCTTCTCAAATAAAAACTTTATAAACCCATTATTATCCTGTATTTAATTAAAAAAAAAATGAGATAGTAATATTTAAACTTGTGACTATACGTTTTTGATTATCAATGCTCTATATAAAAAAAAATCAATTCAAAAATTTAGGTTATTAGGTGAAATTATAAAATATAATTTTTATTAATGTGTATCCTAGATATATGGTCATAAATTGAATTGGCAACTGCAGTCAGATTCTATTTCTGCTTTGTCATAACTGGCATCGGACTACTTTTTTCTTTTTCTGTTTCTCACAAGCTAGACTTTCTTTCTTTCTTTACCTTCTTGTCCTACCACAGCAGTCGTTCTTTTCTTACACCTGCAAAAAAGCATAGTTTTTAAATCTACGGGCTGAAGATTATCTGATATGACCTGTGACAAATGAGAAAACATGTTAGATAGGCCAAAATTTTACTGTTTGACTGGGCTATGACAACTGATTATTCGACTATCGTTAGGCAAGATTTTTATTCCCACGAAAAAAGACAATGTCTTGATCGATTAATTTTGAGACAGTTGACAGATTTTGGATCACAAATTCTTGAACATTGTTGATAGATATGGCTTCTGCAAGCAGGAGTTCTAATGATAAAACAGACGGAACATATGCTGCACGAAACCAAAGTTTAATACTATGAAGTAAACTTTCATTCTTTTCTTGTGGTAGCGTGGTACCAACTGATCAAGTAAAGATTAAAGCAACCTCCAATGAAGGAGAAAATTTAACAGAAAGGTAACATTTGCTTCAATCTTGGGCAAACTTCCATTCTGTGGTGCCTTCAGTCTGATTTTCGTAACACAATGATTGGTATGGACTCTTTTTGTGCCCATATCTTTGCAGCTGTATTGTAGCATACATTTCTCTGTGTTCTATAATTGTGCAGTGACAGAACTTTTCTTGACCAAATCAACCAACTAAAAAAACTTGGATCCATAATTATCAAGGTTGGGAATTACCATGGATGATGATAACTCATTCCAAAAGGAAAGCAGGAGTTAATTTGATAATCTTTAGCTCCCACAAGTTTGTCTTGGATCTGAGGACACACCACTCTTTTGTGCAGATCTATTGGCTTCTGGACTTGATTTGTGCCAAAAAAATTGTTACCAAGTCCGTTCCTAACCAATAGAATATAACAAATAAGAACATTTGGCCTAATTGAGATCTTAATATCTTGTCTAATTATATCTGAAACTGCACACAATTTTAAATGATGCTCGTTATTTAACAAAATCAGAATACTCTATTATCGTTATTTGACATTATAATATTATTATCCGTGATTCACATTTATAACATTCATATAATTATAATAGTCATTATGGTGAAAAAAAAACACGCACGCATACTTACAAAATTGATTTTTTTTATTGTTTTTGTATTTTAATTTTATGTATTTATGCTTCTCTCTCTCTCTCTTTTTTTGTATTTTAATAGTTATATATTATTTATTTGTTTTTATTTTTTAACGAGAAATTTTATAATACTCGAGGAGTAATTAATAACATATACGAGTAGTTACTCATAAATCTACATCGAGGAGAGAGATAAATTAAAAAAAAAACATGAGAGAAAATTAAAAAAAAAATTGAGCGAACGTAAAAAATTTCTTATCACTTTTAGTAAGTTTGGACGTAATTCTTTATTTTATTTTTTTTATGTTTACCTCTTTTTTAAAATGAATTCATGAAATAACTAATATACATGACACTAGTTACTCTTTAAGTATTATAAGATTTTTCACTTTTTATGCGGTAAAAGTGTTATTAGTGTATATATTTAGCAAACCTAGGTGAAAAGCATGTATTGTTAAAATTTATTAAGAACTAGTAATGAGTTAACAAATAAAAACTATAGCCATGACCGTTATTTAACATGTGCAAAGTCTGCAATCGGTGACCCACAACCTTAGCTTCTATTAAAAACTATGCGCTCAAGTGACCTGACGAGTACATTTTTTCAATTAATTAGACGAATCTTTAGGGACCATTCTATCTGATGTAAAGCTGAGAAGTGAGAGCTTCTGGTCCCCTCAGAAATGGGGGCCAGTAGGTGATGTATCTAGAGGCCTCCGTAAACAGAACTGCCCATTGTTCCAAAATTAGATCTAAAATTTCAAGCCATCAAGGAGTAACGTAACCAAGTATAGCTGGCCAAATATAAGCCATTGGGGTTGGAGCAGAATTTGGCAAAGATTGAGAGGTTTATCACATGTCAACAGGTAGGATAGGGAGACAATGACAAAATGTGCTAGGAGAAGTTCCAAAGTTTGATTACATTGATTTTTCTGTTCCTATCTACCTCTTTTCGTTTTCCTTGTTGGATTTTCTGCTTCTCTACGAAGCAGCACCACCAGGGGTAGCTTTATAACCTTTGTTTTTCTCTTGTAGCTACATCACTAGTTGTGGGGACCGAGACCTCATACATGCTACTTGTCGCTGCTATCAATTCTTTGGTCACTGTATCTTCTAACAAGACACTCCATGTCATAATAACTGTGGTTTTCACCAAGACATTGCATAGATGAGGATATGGGGCTTCTTCATTTATGTCCTCAAATATTTAGGATGCCGGATTCAATGTGAAAACTGAACCTTACTGTCAGTTTGTGTCGGGAAAACAAGACAAATGACGAACAAACAAATTATTCGGTTCATTGATTTCGGCTAAGGGCACCAGAGATTAGTGGACAAACTTCACACTCAACAGTACTGCAGCCGACCAGGAATTCTGGAGATATTAAACATTGATTCTTAGCTAATCTGAGACTGACCAATATTTATGTGGGAAATATTCTTCCTTTCTAGATACTTAAAGATCACATATAAATTCTCTTCAGATAGAGGTTATAGGAACTAGCGGCAACTTAAGTACTAATACAATGATGAAGATAACAGAAAAATTAATTAAAATGTGTTAGACAGTAATGATATTGACATGGGACAACTTGCTAATGACTTCATGAACCATATTGACATACAGAAGTCCAAGAAGACAGCTTGAAAGGGTAAATGCGTATTAATTAGTTCTTTAAATGACCATTACTTTTAATATGGGTGTTGATCGATGCAAATCTTACAAATAAATAAAAAATATATTCATAGGCGCACACCATGGCAAAGCACCGAAGGTCATCCGAGGTTGTTTTTAAGGTAAAAATCCACTTGGAAGATCTATTTTTGAATCCAATTGTGATTCAGACTAGCAGAAGAGACTCAAATTGTTGCTGTTTAGGAATTATAGCTTTCCTATTTATCTTTTTTTCTTATCTCTATTTAGATTTTGATTATTTTCGTATGTAAGGATAATTTTTTGCTTTCCTATTTCGTTTTTGTATGTTTAGGGCAGACTAATTAAACTACTTTGAAGCCTTTGGCCATTAATTAGTTTTTTTTTTATTAATAGATTTCAGATTTGAGGATGCTCTAAAATTTTAGGGGAGGTGGGGGCCGGGATTGCTATCCTCATCCCCGTCCTATGCCTCGTTTGGGATGAAATTTCGCTCTCCATCTCCACCCCAAATGAGGCAAGACAGGACGAGGCCCAGCCAAATTACTTTTTTTAAAGGCAAAAGAGTGGAGCGAGGATTGTTATCCTCATTCCTGCCTCGCCCCAAAAAAAAAAAAAAAAAAAAACCCATCCTCGCCCCATGCCTCATTTGAGGTAAAATTTCGAGTTACATCCCTGCCCTAAAAGGAGAGAGGCAGGGCGAGGTGGCGTCGGAATGGGTTGGATTGCCATCCCTACAAAACACTGTGGCAGATATCCATTCTGGTTCTTGCACATTTAGTGGATTAAAGCACGTATAGACAAGAAAACAACATAAATGAACACGTTAATTAATTGATCAGGACCAGTATCAAGAATGAAAATGTAACTTCATGGCCATGCCAAACGGTTTGACGATTCTGTGCCAGAACTCTGGAGTGGATTGAAACAAGCAGACCTCGGAACCTACACCTTGTTCCAGGCCTTATGTCGGATGGACCCAGACTAAGGTCGTTGTTGCAAGTTTCAGGACAATGAATATTACCTAAAACTTTTCCCTCCGCAGACCTTGTACCAATCTTATGTATGCATGCGTTAAGGCAGGGGTCAATATCAATGAGTTGCTAAGTTTTCGATATTTGGTAGGAGATGAAAGCAAATAGATAGAAAGACATAATGTCCTAGACGACTTGAACTGCTGACGATCTCCATGAACAGTTAGGAGATCTGGCCAAGGCCAAGAGCATTTCATTCAGCTGATTTCAATTAATGAACAGAAGTGGATACTAGTTTTGGATGCCGTCCTATGAGAGATCCAGATGATTTTCCAGTCTTTTCAAACAGTTGTCATCCCTTGTAAGTACGATGGCAATCACATGTTGTTAGGCAAAGCATGCATTTTCTTGGCTTGAAGTGGATTAACGCCCTCACATTTCAGATATAGGTCATGAACATGGAAATACTGGAGTAATTGTGAACTTGCATTGCATACTGAGCAAAGGGAATTTCAAGATGTAACAAAACTCAATAACTTCATAGACCTGTGATTTAAACCTGGAGCAAAGGTTAAAACCAATGAACATTTCATCACTCTAAACTTTTCATTTAGGACTTGGACATATCGATCCTAGCTTGACTTAAAGTTAACAGAGGGAAGATGTGTACATTCGGTGTTATTCGGTTCTGAATTCCACACTCTCTACTGTATGACCATTACAACCAATCTAAAACATACAAGTGAACTAAAACGGCGGCCTTTTGTCTTGAAACGACGCCGTTTTCATAAAATAAGTGAATTTTTGTTAATTTGTCCAACTTTTCACACTTTAGTCTTTCTATTTATAATATTTTTCAAATCAGTTCATTAATTAAATATTTATTGCAGATAAGTCTTTATTTTTTATGGCTGGGCTGTGCTTCCAGCCCAGATCTGTGGGCCTGGTTTTCTCCAGACCCATAAGAATTTGGTTGGTGTTAGCCCAGCCAAGCCTCCTTTTTTTGTGCTTTTTTATATTTTTTTCATTAATGATTATTTACTAAAAATAAGAATTTTCTTTTTATGCTGTAATTTTTTTATTATTTATTATTTACTTAAAATAAAAAAAAATTCATAATTAATGGTTTTTTTTACATATACTAGTTAACTAAAATTAAACACTTGTATATATAAAATATTGCATAATACATATTAAATATTATGCTAGTTATTTTCTGTTGGTGCAAGGTCCTCTGTCCACAACCACAAACATTGCAAATTCAGATGTACCTGTGATATAACTTCTCAAAAAAAGATCAAAAATCAAGTTAGAATAAAACTAATGTTGAGAACAAGTTAATTTCCAGAAGTGGCAGTCTTCCTGTTGAGGACAAGTTTCAAGAAGTTGCAAGAAAAATTAGAGCAGATCGTTAGAGAGTTGCAGGAAAGTGTCCCAAGTTGTCCAATTCTACAGCATTTTTCTTTCCAACTTCTATTATTTTCTAAAATAAGTCCTTGTCTCACGTACTTCTAATGTACTTCTCCTATAAAGACCGGTTTGCTCGTAAGGCTAATCAGTAGATATCACGAAACAAGCAACAAGTAAGGGAAATGGTTAGTATAGAGAAGCAGGCTACAGAATTTGGCATTCAACCTTGCCTAGCTAATCTTGTCAATTATTTTGTGGCACTACTAGACAGGTAGTGCTTGTTTAAGACTTTGTAAGTGTTTATGTCACATTTTCTGTATTATAGAGCACTTCATCTTAGTTCTAAATTGACAGGAACCTGCAAATGGAGTAGTAACTAGTAATAAAAACGATAACATCCAGTAAATTAGTAGTCCCCTCTTTATCACAGGTCAAATTATTATCTCATAGTCCTATGGTTGGAGCTTAAATCTGAACATTCAAAGTTCAACAATACTGTTCCATCTGTTACCTGCACAACCCAGACTGCCAGATTGCTGCATTGATGCTGGACTTCGTCACCGGATACCTCATCCGGCTGCAGGGGCAGGGGTTATTCTATTTAACACTTTATTTGTAGAACTCAATATTTTCTTTCTAGCATATGAATTGTAAAATGATCTTGGCAAAAGTTAGGTTCTTTGATTTAACTTGTTTATGTTTTTTAATAAATGCAGAAAAGTCTGTTTGAAAAAACATAGATATTACTGATGCTCAACTGATACAGCATACATCTTATTATTTCTTTTTACAGCGCTATACTCTTACCGCATAAATCTTCATTTCCTTTCTGATTCATGCTCATTGGAACTGTCATAACTACTAGTTATGAGTTCCTCACATGACCAGGCTGAAGATCCAGAAAATGGCGAGTACCTGCTATGTAGGCGGAAATATATGCCTCATTGTGGTGGGCATTACTTAAACGTAGCTTAAACTTAATGACTGCTATCTGAAGTGGTAGGGTCTAGAGAAGATTCTATATCCTTTCCATCAGAGTTTGCGAATTTCAAGTAATGTTCAATCTCATTTTCGTCCGAGCTTCCACGTCTTAAATGGAACCACTTCCTAGGATGATGATGATGTCTTGGTTTCCTGTCGCTAATAGCGATGGCAATGTCATTAGGGAAGAGGTCTCGAAGCACGAACGCATGCAGTATTGTCGATACAAGCAGACCCGTTACTGTGAGTGTGGAAACGGAAGAGAGCGTGACAGCAAGAACTTGGGTGACCACGTTTGTTACTTCATTTGAGTACCTGATGGTCGCAATGGCAGCGCCTGTCATAGGGAAAGTGTATGCCCACCATGACAATGAGAACCTGTAAATTCAAGAGATCGTTAACGTTCGGAAACCTTGGAAGCAAAATGGTAGAGAAATTAAAAAAAAAATATATAGCTTCAGGGGCCACTGGCTTACTTGAATCCTCGGAAAAAATTAACACGGACTGCCTGCAAAAATTGCAAAAAAAAAAAAAAAAAAAAAAAAAGATAGCTGATGAAGATGTATATGGCAGGAATATAATGTATTATAACAATAAGGACATGCTCAAATTATCTAAAGTGGCAGAGACTTACCAGTGAGAAATAAAGGAACAAGGCAATGAAGTAAGCGATCCGTGATCCATGATCAAATGAACCTTGAATTTTTGCCCATGCCATAGAAGCAACACTTGGAGCTGCAACAAACAGAAAGAACACTGGATGGAGCTCCTTAGGGAGTGTCTCATTCGTCGGAAGTCTCTGGTACAGAGTTACAAATAGGACTGTATAGTGAGCCAAACCGACTGCAAAGAAGAATATAGGCCCTTCTTTTAACCCCATTGACGCACCCAACAGTGCCCCCACAAAGTTCCCAACAATCGAGAGATGATTTGTAGGGTTTGCCACCTTCGAAAGCCTTCTCTGTCCTCCTGACATCCACTGGCCATATATCTTAAGCTCGAGAATGAGGAACGGAGTCATGAGCACATACCAAAGTGCTTTATGCAGGTCTTTGGCAAGTGAAGGTGGCACTCCAATAGCTAAGAACAGGAGAGCTATCCATGGTGCAAAAAAGAAATTCACTCGAATTGGGTGGTAGTACTCACGACGAACTGCTTCAAAGTAGAGAATCATTTTCAGAATGTATATGGAACCAATGGTGACTACAAGAGCAACAGAGATGCACCATAGGACAAGATTCACATCGATGCTTATGTGGAGAAAACTTGTGGAGTCAGAGGTCGCCAGAGTTTTCCACATTATTGCTTGGCTGCTAACCCCAAGACAGATACCAAATGAAGAGATGGGATAACGGAGAAGAAATGGCCATGTTATATCATCTGGGAGCACTATTTGTTCCGAAGGCTGTAAAGTAGCAGCACGAATAGTAGTGATCAGAAACATTCAGCTTAAGCAGCAGATATATATATGATATTTGGCAATACAAAAGACATCAATAATTACAAGTGAGAAAATAAGTTATAGAAGGAAAGGGGAAGGCTGTTGTTCATCCATTTGTCTCTCCATACAAGGACAATTCATTAAAAACTAAGGAAAAAGGTGATGCACAGAGATCATCCTGACTTAAATGAAAGATCTGACTAAGCCAGATCATTACCATAATTAAATGATCATATATCTAGATTCAAAATTCATTAGTATTTGGTGGATCCTGTAAACCTGGGAATCTAACAAGAGAAAATCAATTTATAATGCAGGTTAGGAGTGCATGTGCATCATAGTGCCACAATGGAAAAGCACAAAAATGGAAATCTAAGTATACATCTACTTGAGGATCTTAGATTACGAAAGTAATTATATTAAAGGATTTGGGGAGGTAAGGACTAAGCACATACCCTAAGAGTCTCCAACTCAGGCCCTTCCAATGCGTCAAAGTATCGGTCTACAGGTAAAGCATCTTTCTCTGCTCTTGGTCCAACAGTATTCTCCGTTGGATCTTCCCGTGGCCTCCCACGTAAATTTGATATCTGCCTCTCAAGTTTCCCAGACCATGTTTTGAAAGAATCATATCGATTGTCCTTCAACTTTTTTAAGCTCGGATGGTTTGGAATGTCAACTGCAACCCCAAATGCAGCACTTCCGTTTGGCATCGGTTGAGAGTGGAATTTAACTTGCTTTGGTGGTGGATCAACAGTTTTGGATGCAGCAGAAGAATCTGGATTTCCATAAACAAAAAATTTTTCGCCATCATCTTTGAAAAGGACCTTTTTTGTGTCCTTTGAGCTTTCTGCAATTGGAGAAGCTGGCAAACTGATGGAAACAGAATGCTTCCTTTGATGGTGGATGGATTGAGATTCATCAGTTTGGTTCTCGAAGGCAGCAGTATCACTACCCTGCTACAACACAAAAAAGAAATATATTATACCTTGACCATATCATAGCTTTCAAAATTCTTTTTTCTTTATATACAAGAAAATTAACACAAAACCACCGAAGAAGCTCTGCAGAATCAGGCTAAAATGGTTCGGTAACATGTCATAATATGTGCAACATACCATCGCTGATGAACTGTAAGGTTGAGAACCACTTGCTTGAAGCTGCTCATTCAAGATTTTGTTTAGTTCAACGCTATCGAAGCCATCCACTTCCTTTGATGAGATGTATTGGATGAGTGCTGGAAGTGCTTCCGGCAAAATCTGCTTTTCTACATCTAGATTTATGCTGTTTTCCATCATAAAAAGTTAAGCCTGAAAGGATAATAGTTGAATCCAACAAAGATCAATTATTTATTCTTTCAATTAAATCAACAAAGATCAAAACTTGTTTAAGTACAAATCAGTGCAAAAAATCGAGTCAATTAACCATATATACGCACTGAACCCAACCTTTTTACATTGTAGACTCTCTAAAACCAGAAAATAGTACAGATGGCACGGTAACTGGAACCAGCACATAAAACACATAAATCAAACCTTGCTAACCACATATTTATCCATATTCGTCATCATTTCCATCTTTTGTCATCAGATTCATCGTCTTAAAACACTGGTGAAAAGGTACAGTCCAGGAAAGTCAAATGTTTTGGTGAATATCTCCAGACAAGCAATCTAATACTCATAACCAGCAAACAAATTGAACATGAATAAACTGCTGATCATATCAAATACCAACCAATAATTCTTTGATCTCACATTGAAGAGCAGAAAAGGACAGGAGGAAAGCATATTGGATTTTCTTATATTGAGAAATTGGTGACAGAGAAACAAAGTATATTCACATGGGCAAGCTCAGAATGAACTTTACATGACAGATCATAATTGCCCATGCCAAACCCCACACTGAAGTGCGCGAATCATTTTATCAAAATCTGCACACCGCATGATGACACTAGAAGATGACAAAGATAGGGCAGTCTGGTTTATACTAATTAACAGACACAAATCTTATCCGATCCCTGTTTAGAAGATAGCTAAGTTCACCAAATCAAAGCACATCAACCTACAACCTATTGTCATTTTCAACCATAAGATCTTTTACATAAGAGAACCCAAAAAAAGAACACGAACATGCTGATTAATATTAAAATGCACACAGATCCCAGAAATCAGAAAGCACTGCAGAAACAAAACAAAAATAGACAAGACTTACCTTACCGCCTCAAGTAGCCAGTCTTGATAGTAATGCCAAAAACAGAATAGCCTAGTTAATCGGGAACACAGGCAGAGGTCAGCTAATAGAAAATCAGCAGCAAAAATCTGTGTTCTTTTTTCTCCTTTTTTAAAGGAAATGACTCCCCAAAAGGCACAGGAAAACCAGACCTGTGTGGACTTGGAGAAAAGAAGAAATGAGAACAACTAATACACGTCTTCCAAGAATAAACGGCACAGTGTATATATAGAGTCGTAAGGGCAGACGATCAACTTGCAAAACAACATTACGTCAAGAGTACTTGTATTGATAATAAGCAGTGCTGCTTATTTGAGAACGACACATCCATGCAAAAAGACAAAGCAGCTAATTAAGTTAAACAAATTCAAACTAATACTAATAACCATGTGTTAGGTGATAATAAGCTAGCATCAAACATTATTGTTCTGAAAAATTCAGAAGAGGAGGGAAGGAATCATGGTGGAACACATCCCATTCTTATGTTGCTTTCACACATGGAATTAAAATTACAACTATGTCGAGACATATATTTAGACTGATCTAAAGATAATTCTAGAAATTTAGAAGATAACAACATCATCATTAATTTATTGCCTCCTTAAATTTAGAAGAATTAAAAAGACTTCTTGGAAAACTCATTTTTTATATATATATATTTTTTCTAGACTTCAAAATTAATTCCAACAACAATAGAGGCTTGGATGATTTGTCATCATTACCTACCATCCTGGAGACAATTTAATATAATTTAAGTAATCAACAAGTTAGGTTTGCTTAAATTAAGCCTGAAAAGGTTGTACAATGTTAAATCACATCTTCTGATGCATAATTTTTTTTTCTTTAACATGATAGCACTTGATGTATCAAACTGAAAAAGATAAGATAAAACAAGTTTTTGTCATGTTCCATCAGTAAATTTTTATCCCCCTTTTTCATGGAATAATTCTGTTTCCTCTGGTTTGGTTCAGTACAATCTCATCTTGTCCACTGCTAATCAATCAAATCCAAATCCAACGAGTATTTACAACTAAGCACAGGTAGTACACCAACCATAAGCAGGTCAAAGTTTGAAAGCAGCCCATCAAAGCATCCCCTTCACAAATAGTTGTATGACAATTGACAAAGAAAACAATCCGTCGAATGCTGCGTTCATGCCGGTCTTTCAAATAATATATAAAGGACTAAACACAATAAATGGCGGCCCACAATAAAGGAAACCAGAAGAAACTACAAGAAAACCAAAATATTTTTTTAAAAAAATGCTGACGCTAATCTGGGATTAATATGTGTAATTATTAAGTCAAATTTGGTTCCTAATCCCAGTACAGATCTCTCTAAATTCAAGTTCTATAGTTGAAAAATCAAGTATTAAAAACAACCAAGAAAGGGAGGTTTTGATTTTAAATTTGTGATAGAAGTTCAACGAACAAATGGAAAGACAGATGTAAACAGTAGATATATATCCAAATGAACCACGAAAACAACACTGTCAGATTGATATGTCAAACCTAATTGAAAACTACTTGAATGGGACAGATTGCTGCTCTAATGCAAAATTGTTTACTTAATTAAAAATCAGAAAATTCAATGTAATTAAGCGTATATTATTTCTTTTATCCAATTAATTATTCATGAAGCATCTAAGCACCGTCGATTTTCAACAGCCTGGAATAAGAAAAGATCTAACAAGTCAAGCATCTACTACAAAAAATAGGAAGGAAATCGATGTTACTAGCTAGTCCCCACACCTACAGCTTACAGCTAGATGTAACATTATTGTTATCTGTCATAATGTTTGGCAGAAATAGGAAGGTTCCCCAGGGCTACATTTCTGTGACCAATTACATGTTTGTTTCCAAAAACCAGTATTTCTTGGAATGTTCCTCTTGTATTCGCAAATCAAGCAAATGTTTTTGAAAATTTGTAACTACATTGGAATTTGAATAATTTATGGCAAGTTGATGAAGGAAAATCATGATTATTTTTAATAATATTGTAGCCAAGGATAATTAGTTTGCTTCAAGATCTTGTACTATATCTAGAACACGCAAAATTAAAAAGTACAGGGAAAAAAGTTGCATTTTATGATGAATCCAGCTAGATGCACAGAAACTATGGAAAGAGTAGAGACAAAGCGAGAGAGGTTCCACGAAAACTCCACTACAAAAGTTTTTCTTGAAATACCAATCAATGAGAGGTGGGAAGGAAATAATGTAGAATCGAAAGACATATTTCTTTTCAAGGGAACTTTTTAGGTTCTTTCTCTCCATATTGCACATTGAAGTTGATACAACTAACCTAGATTTTATTTTTATTTTTTTGAAGTTTAATTTTCTAAAGGCACACTCAATCAATACTTGTAATGTTAAGGCAATATTACATTGCTGAAGATGCATGATTAAATTATGAAATTAATTAGGGTTTCACAATTTAGGTATATATATAAAGGTTGCTCATCAAAACAAAACCTAACTAAAACTAGGCAATTAATTTTCTACTTTTCTTTGTACTGGAATATTGAACACATAATATCATTATTGCTTCTTGAAAATGCAACAATCTATAGATATTATAACAATATATTCATACCTCAAGATTGCTTTTTGAATTTCCAATCTTCTCCTGCGAAAACATTCAAGAACTTCGAATACCATTACATTACACGCTGTAGGCTAATGGTAATTCTGATAAATTGTTTCAAAAGAAAAGGAAAGAAAGATTTCGTAAATAACTTGAGAGAGTATTTCTGCCTAAATCTTAAGCATTTTTTATAATCTTTCGTTCGTTTCTCCCCTCCAACGGGAGGAAGAAATTTTCAAAACTACGGAGCTACAAGGATTTATATCGGTTAAATAATTAATTCATGTTTATAAATATCTGTTGCATAATTAATTATTTACAGATATAACTTATTTATTCTGTCACAAAACGTGTGGATTTCCTTCACATAAATTATAGAAAACAAAACTGAAAAACCAATAATATATTCGAAAAATAGAGCCCCATTGGAGTGCTAGCTAGGGGTTAATTATCACAAATTTGTGAACCGTAAAAGCTGGAAAGCAAGAATTGTGGGTTTTAATTCAATGAATAGAAAAATTTGCATGGACACAACACAAAGTGGGTTTTGTTGATGGATTTCAAAAGGAATGGTCATGTGGAATGCGAAGTGGAGTCCAACGTGAACAGAACCTAAAACCTAAGGATGACCTAACCATAAATTTACGTACAGAACTATTAGATTACGTTATAGATTAGGCCTTTTAGTTTTGAGAAATAAACTAATCAGTACCTCATGTTTAAAAAAAAACTAATTATGTAGTCATTTTTTCCTATTTTATGTTCTTTTCTGGAGTATTTTGTTTTACTTTTTTGTTTTAAAAATCAAAAATAAATAAATATTATGAAAATATTGGTGAGAAAATAAGATATTTTTTAAAATTAATTAATATTAAATTAAGTATATTCAATATTGATCAAGAGACTAAATAATTATATTTTGAAATAAAAGGGACTCCTTAATTCATTTCTCCAAACAAGGGACTAATTTATAATTTACTCGAACGATAATGGTCTCTGCTATCACCACATCCGTACATGGCGTTCTGAATGGTTCAAGTTTTTTCTTTTGTTTTCTGTTTTTTATTTAAAGGACTGTGCATTTCCTTGTGAATGGATGACGTTGATGAAGCCATTGACGTACAAGGCCTAACTTTCTTTTTGGATAACTACAAATCAGTACCCAATCTATCTATTCATTAACAAATCACTCCCTAGCAACTTAAAGGTTCTTTCCATCAGCTTTTCTATAGGCTATGACTTTGGATAAGTACAAATCAATGCCCAATCTATCTATTCGTTAACACGTCACTCCCTAACAACTTAAAGGTTCTTTCCATCAGCATTTCTATAAGCTATAACTAAAGTATTCATATCTAATTACGGCTTCTTTGCATTGGATCTCTACTTTTCCATACTCAATCTCATTATCACCGCAAGTTCTATCTACTATGTAACAAGTTTATTTTCTATCTAAAACATATCAAATAAATATTATTATATTCATCATCAGTTCTACATTCTCATTCAAAAAATGTGTTGTATATTGAAATTATCAAAAGAAAACATGGGTATTACCTAAAAAAATCTTATTTGAAATGGTGGCTTATGAAATAGAAGAATAAGATTATTATTTTTTTTTTTTAAATTAAGAGAAGAGTCAAAACTCTGACGGATCTAAACAATCTTATAAAAATTGTAAGTCACAATTCTATAAATAATCTCTAATAAAAAGTTAATACAATCCATTAATTCAAC